AGTTTTTAAGGATAGAGTAATTGGAAACATTTTTTATTGGTTTTTCTTTTTCTTTTTTTTATTTTTAATTGGAAACATTTTTATCAAGGACAAAATGATACAAACACTACAGCAAGAAAGTCTTTCTGTGCTGCCATGAGACACCAGAGTATCCTCTCTCTGGAGGAACTCTTGTTTCCAGAGAGCTTTAACAACCTAGAAAGCCAGTGATGAAATCCAACTTCTCTCCCCTCATTCTTTTGTTCACCGTTCACCTGTCCTTCCTGTTGTCTCTCTTCCTCAGGGTCTAAAAGAGCCTGTTCTTGCTTTCTACTCAGATGACTGTCTCAGCTTCAGCTCCATGCTGATTTTCGGCTTTTAAAAGGCTTTATCACCTCAGCCCAAAAAACTCTGTAGCCCCTCTTGGGTAGAGATTTACAAGCAGACTACACATATATCTACACAGGCACACACATGCATGCATGCACAATGCAATCTGAATGTATGTGCATATGCATCATTATTTTTGTATTCTAACATAGTGTACCTATTTCACACACATACATCAGGAAATATTTTCACTGATTTATTTGAGCGTGAAGTTTTTAACATGCAAAAGGTATTTTTCTGTTTTGGTTTCTTATGACTCTGGTATTTCAAGTACCAGGTTGTGCTTGTTATTGCTTCAAGACGGGGGTACGTGCTTCAGGGTGGGTTCAAGATAAAGAGAGATAAAGCCAGACTCTTGGGGGGAAAGAAAAAAGGCGGGGGGGGGGGTTAGGGCGTCTGGGAATCTCAAGAACATCTTTATTTCGCCTTTTAACTCTCCGCCTTTCTGATTAAAGGGTTCAGCCCTGCTCCCCCCGCCCGCATTCAATTATCCTCAGCATCCTTTCTCAGACGCTGTCACCTCCACTTGCTGAGCCACAGCCCCATCCTGAGCCATGAGTCCCGTTCTTTCCTTTTGGCTTTTCTTTCCTCAGTTTCCCCCCGCAATCTTTATAAATCTTCCTAGGAGGAGGCGCGTCCGAGCGGGTGGAAGTCTGAACACAATGCAACCTGAGAATTTCTGTCACTCTCTGCATATGCTCCTAAGTGCTTTAATCCCAATTAGGGGCGGCTGACACACGGTCCTATTCATTCCCATCGGCTCTTGAATACATTTGCCTAGAAATGAACTTCACAAATAGAGGCGCTCCTAAATGTGCCCAGCAGCAAGGAAAATCGAATTGAGCGCGGGCTCATTCGGCGGAGGCCGGCGGAGGCGCGCTGAATGTGGAGGTGCCCCAAGACATTGCAATTCAGCAGCACGCTCGCTGACTTTTCTTCGCGCCATGTCAACCGAAAGAGCCAAGAAATAAGTTGGGGAACTACGGTTAAAAGGCAACTCGAGAGGGACTCTGAATACTTTTATTGAGCCCTTTCCAAAGGAGGACTTAAAAAACAACAACAAAAAAGCACCACAAAACCCACCAGCAGTGTCCGGGCTGTGTCCTTGGCTGCGCGCTCGGAGCCTCCCGGCCGCCGCGCATCCACTGGCCACGTAATTAAGGGAACGGCCCCGTCTCTGGCGTGTCATCTGGTGGCGTTCCCAGAGCCCGCCGCCGCCGCCCTATTGAGACCCTGCCTTAATGTCCCACCCGCGCCTCGGGGGCCGCGCAGCTGGTCTGTGCTGACCTGGCCGCCTGGCCGCCGTGGACGCGCTGGGGGGAGGAGGGGGACGTCCCGGGCCACCTAGGGCCCGGAGCGGGCCACTGAAGCGGGCTCTTCAGGCCTCTGATTCCGCCGAACCTCGCCGCTCCCTGCTCCCTCCATCCCGGACGCGGTGGGCTGGTGGTGTCCTTTGGGGACTCCGCAAACATCGAGTCCCCAGGCGGAGGCCCCTGGGGGCCGCCAACTTGGTCTCCCCGGGAACCAGAAGTCCAAGGTCTCTGAGCAGAGGAGAACCTAAGCCCCAGAAAAGGGTGCGGCCAAAGGAGCCATGTCAACCGAACCCGGAGTCCTGCGCTTGCTCCTTCCCTTTAGGCGGAGCCCAGGCAGCGCGCGCGTGCTCGGCGCCCGCTGCAGCTCTAGCTGGGGCCGGGAAGCGCATCTCGGGGGTCGGGGCGGCCCCCTAACGCAGATTGCTCTGCAAGCCGCGTGGCGTGCGGATCTCGCTACAGGCCGACTCAGCAGCGGGGTACCGCTCTCGAGCTCCGCCTCATTAGGGGCAACCTGTTACGGGGAGCCGAGCCGAGTGGGGAGCAGGACAGAGACACGTCGGTGTAGGAGGGATTTCGCTTAAACAGGGCCTCTGGACGCCCATTTTAAGTTGATAAAAAAGCCGAGTGGAATGTTTTGATTGAGTCTCAACATTGTCTTTGAATAAGGCTGAGACCATGTAATTAATGTGTCTTTTTAATAAGGGACAATACGGTCGTTCAAGCTATTTAATTTCATTTAATTTTCCATCCCATTTGCTGCACAGCCCGCTTTTACTTTTTAACACCCAGCCTTTCACGGCCCATCTTGCTCCAGTGGGCACATTAGATTGGTTTCACCCTTGCTTTTTAGGGGAGGAAAAATAAAAGAAAATGTGTTCCTTTCCTCCTTTGTGGACAATTTATTTCACTTGGGGAACTTCAACTCTGAGCCACAGGACAGAATAAAACTCGGCGAGCTGGTGTGAATGCCTCTGGCGCAGGCTCTTTCTTCTGGCGGGGCTGGGAACCAGCCACAATTGGCTATATTAATAAATAACTTTCCTCACAGTCGGCCTTTACATGGTCCTATTGATAAAATTGTTCGCGTGTCGTTCACGCTTTTTCACTCATTAAGGAGGGCCAGGGAGGCGCCCCGAACCCAGGCTCTGCGCTGGCCCCTTCCCGCTCACAGTGCTGGTAATTTAAACTGGGAGTCATCGCGGTGTCGCCAGGCCAGAGGTTAGAGGGACATGTTCATGGCTTAAATTTATTGCCCTCGACTCTTCGGAGTGGCTTCCTCTCCTCCTCCCCTCCTCTGGCTTTTGCCATTCATAGGCCTCAGGATCAAAGGCTCGCTCTCCTTTCCCCTGGGCAGCCTAGGAGGCCAGCAGAAGAGCTATTGGGAGGTTAAGAAGAAAACTCAGTGGCAGAAAGTGGCACTGGCCACGGCCTCATTGGACAAGCACAGAGGCCACAACGGTGGCCGCTGAAACTATGCAGGGGATATTCTGTGTCCTAGCAGCCAATTCTACATAGGTGCTGGATTGGGCCCCAGGGCTGGCTTTCCAGGTTTCCCTGCATGTTGACTTGAGATTTGAGAACTTTGACCTGGCCTAGATTCTTAAGTGGCTCCAAATAAAACATTATAGAGCTTTGAGGATGCTATGGGTGCTGTAGAAGACCTTCAACAGATTGAGGTGAACAGTGACGAGGAGCCAAATGCCTGTCTGCTACCAATGGGTCCATTTCATAGATTAGGAGACTGAGGCACTGAAGTAATCCACCGAAGTCTTGAGTTGTCACCACGCAGACTGAACGATGCTCCAGTCTCCTATGTCCAATATGGCAAATACATGTTTCAAACCAGCTGCCTTGAGCTTCTCTAAGAGCCCTCCTTTGACAAACTGTGACGTTACAGTTGTTGCCACCTGTGCCCTAGGCTGGGTTTCGCCAGAGACTCCTAAAGATGAGACAATCACACCGTCCTTGGCCAAGCCACCTAAAGAGGCCATGTGGATGCTGCTGGGAAGGAGTCCTCTGGCCTTTTATGTGTTTTTTGACCTCAGCTGGGAAGATCAGCACCACTCAGGCTTCTTCGAGAACTGTGGATGGGCTCCTGGGCTGTCGCTTGGGATTTAGGAAAGGTTCCCACTATCAGCAGTGCCCAGGAAGCTCCACAGCTATCCAATGACTTCCATGGCCCAGACACCATTTTATGTCAGTAACTGTTCTCCATAAAATAGAAGCCTTCCCTAAAAGAAAGGTGTGTGTGTGTGTGCGCGTGCGTGTGTGATTTTAACTCCAATGTACCTGTCCTGTGCATAAGTGGTCCTCTCCCAAGGTTTTGGAAGACTGTGGGATAAAAAAAAAAAGTAAAATCAGGTTTGTTGGTTGTAGGGAAGGATTTTGTTTCCATTTTAAACTTAAATTACTAATTGGCATGTGAGGGAGTCATGATGAATAACCTGACCCAAAGAAGTACTCTTCAACTCTCCATCAGGTGGATGGTGCAAGACCTCTTGTGAACGCTTGGGCTCTGTGGCCCCTTCCCATCCTCAGAGAGAGCGAGGACCCTACAGTGTACCTGTGTGCAGCCATGCTGCATGGCTGACCTCAAACTGGTCCTGAGGTTTCCTAGTTCAGGGCGAAACGGGGCAGAAGGAACAATTAAAGTGGTTCTAAAAAGACACTGGCCTGAACCCAATCCTCTGAAATGGTAATATGGCTGTTATTTAAAAAGTGTAAGTATTTTCTGGTGTCTTCCCATCAAGTACCTGCCTAATTTCTGTATGGCACACGCCAGAAATCAATAGAAGTTAACAAGTCCTCCAAACAGTACCCATCTCTTTGTTTAATCTCCTTTACAATAAAGCCAAGGGGAGAGAATTAAAAATCTTTGAAGTAGACCAAGGCTCAAAGGAATCAGCCAAGTAGACTTAAAGTAGTCACTTATTTCCCAAAACTGGTTTGTCGGCGAACAATAAAAAGAAGTAAAATTTATGGAGAAATTATACAGTGGATTTGTCACTTAAAATATCGTAACTGTCTTGAGGACAATGCCCCATGCTGAGGATTAATGGTACTGCCGGACCTTTGATTCACCAGCGCCTTTTCTTCGCCCTTGACAAATTGGATTTTTAGGAATGGGAAGGTCGCCTGGACCATTGTGTGCTAGCCATTCAGAGCCCTCGATTATGCAGGGGGCTGAGGGAACCACTCCATGTGACCCTCTCGGGTGGGACCGTGCAGCTGCTTCGAAGCGCAACTCTCTCACCAAACTCCGCGCCCTTGCGCTCGCGGTGCCAAAAGGCGCCCGCCCCGATTGAAAAGGCGCAGTGCATGCCCGTCCGCGTCACTCCGCGGGCGGAGGACGCACGTCGGGGCGCGGGTCCCTGGCTAGTTTGCGGCTCAGGCTCTGACTCTTTCGCCTGGCGAAGGTCCCCGCGAGCCCCAGCGCCTGCCTGGAGGCAACGGCAACGATGCAAGGAGCTGCCCGTGCTCCGGCCACCAGCGTGAGTGCCGACTGCTGCATCCCGGCCGGCTTGCGTCTGGGGCCGGTACCCGGCACCTTCAAGCTGGGCAAATACCTGTCAGATCGCAGTGAGCCCGGGCCCAAGAAAAAGGTATGGGCCATTCTGACCTCCGCGCCCTGCCGTGCGCCTCCCTTTGCCCTGACCCAGGAACGCAGCAGAGAGGGGAAGTGGGGGAACGGATGATTGACTTTTACCTGCTAATCCTGCCCGTTAGAAGGGAATTTCGATGTTTTTCCTAGCAAGTTTCATTAACTGAGAGCTGGACCGTGGGTTGGGCGGAAGGGTAAAGTCGTGGCTGAAAGGAAAGAGCTCCCGATTGCGATGCACCAGCTTTCCAAACCTCGACCGTTCGGAACTAGGGGTTTGTTTCCCCAGAGCTCTGAGGTGCTGTTAGTGCGGTGTCCGAGGGTCCTCCACCCTCCCTGTCCTTGTCCCTCTAGGTGAACGCATTCTTCCTGTAAGGGCACAGGGCATCGAAGACTTTGCTTTGTGCCTTCCCCTCTATACGTTAATTTGAGGCTTAAATTTGTCTTTAAATAATTTAGTCCCATTTTTTTCTCCCTGAAAAGATCATCCGGGGGAGGTTCTCAGTTTCCTAAATCTCCCCCACGTTTTTCACCGGTTTACTTGTAAGCTTGGAGTAAATGGAGACCTGGTGGTAGTCCTGAAGCAGGCTTAAAGAACAGGGGCACCAGTCCGCGTAAGGGCACGGGTCGCTGAAATAGCTGGGTCCCAACACTGAGACCCTCAAATGCAACCCGCCAGCTCAGATTCCCTGATCAGGCGTCACCGGCCAGAAGAGGGATTTAAAGGCTCTCACCTATCCTGAGGGGCGAGCCAGCACATAGCAAACTATGAAGGTAGAAGTCTGGAGGAAAGGAGGGCTCTGCTTTAGCCGCCACCTAAAGCTTTCTAGTTAGAAGTAGCTCTACGGTCCAGCATCTCTCTTGCAGTCAACCCTCGTCCCTCCACATCCCGGTCTAATCTCTTAGGACGCCACGCCTTCCTCTTAAAAAGGCCAGCTGGCTTCGGGTGAGATTTCTTTGGATCCCCTTCGCTCCCAGATTCTCATTGCTGGGCTCATCTGCCCCTAGCTGCGGTCGGTCCTTCGAGAACGGGAGAAGTGAGATGTGGGGAGGACTGAAGGACACTGCCTTGACTTCCAAAGGTCTCTGCGCGGCAGCGCTGCTTTCAGAAGTGCAAATGCGAGAGGTAGGGTAGGAGTAGGCAACGTCTTCGCCCTCAGGGAGGATGCCATCCTCTGCTGCCAAGGTGGCAGTGGTGGTGAGGTTGTCCTACTAAACAGCCACCCCTGTTCTCCATGCTCCACGCTAGCGCCTCAAGGCATATCCGCTTCCCTGCATCGCAAAGCGGTCTGGCCAAAGGAAACACGAGCATTTTCTTGATTCAGGTTGGGTGGGGGACAAACTTTCCCTTCTGGGTGTGGGCCTGGCCGTGGTGCGGGAGCGAACGACGGCTGCTTGTGTTGCAGGTGCGCATGGTGAGAGGGGAGCTGGTGGACGAGTCGGGGGGCTCCCCTCTGGAGTGGATAGGGTTAATCCGGGCAGCCAGGAGTCCCCAGGAACAGACTCTGGAAGCTATTGCAGACTTACCCGGAGGACAGGTACTGTGGGCTCTCCCCCCTCCCCATCAATTCTACCTCACTGTCTCTAGGGTGGCCAACACTAAGAGCAAAGTGCTTTAGTTACAGGGCTCATGCAAATAACCCCACGACTCTATTGGGGGATGCTACTGTGTTGTTTTTTCTCTTTGAAGAATGAAGGAAGCGAGGTTCAGAGAGTCTGTAACTTCTCGGGGCCAGGCAACATCATCAGAGGATTTGAACCTTTCTTTTCAGTTGCATTGTGACCAATAACCCATGAAATGACAGACAGCTTTCCTGTTGCTTGCCCCCCAGATCTTCTACCGAGCATTAAGAGATGTCCAGCCAGGGGAGGAGCTGACAGTATGGTACTCCAACTCCTTGGCTCAGTGGTTCGACATCCCCACAACTGCAACCCCCACGCACGACGAGAAAGGTACCACCTCCGAGGAGGTCTCCAGGCCAGTGTGGGTGGGCCACAGTCCCCCCCTCTTCCTGCCTTGGGGTCCTGGGGGAGGGTGTTCTCAGACTTGAGCTGTTTTCTTTCCAGTTGTATAAAACTGAAATTATGCTCCCTTAGGCCTAGAGAACACCCATCACTATCCCCTTAAAATAAACAGTAGCTGGTTGAAAAAGAGTGACAGTAGCAATCTCGCTCATGATGGTAGGGGACAATTCCACCCTATGAATCTCATAGGCTCATCCTTTCCTATCACATACCCACAATGACAACTATTTACTCAATGAAGAATCAAAAAAGGGGCCTTAGTTTGTTACAGTAATTACATGAGTTCCAGAGAGCACAACTCAAACCTCAAATGTTTTTTATACAAGATGGAAAAGTACATCTTCACTGGTTTTCCAGGACAGCAATGAATAGCTACAGCATTTTAGAAACATTACGGTACTTACTGCTGGACCGTTGGCAGGTACTAAGGTTCCTCCTGCTTAATGGTACTTATTCATTTTTCTCTCCTACTTAAATTGAATCTGGGATGTATCCCAGTTTCTTCTCAGATTTATTTGATCTCTTCCAAAGCCAAGAGGGGATTTATGCAAATTAAGGTGTAGCAACTAAAGAGAAAAACATTTTCAAACCTTTGTTGGAACACTAAGAACACTTCCCATGGAAAGGAGGTCTGAGGTGCTAAAATAGTTAAGGTCTCCAGTCTCACCTTTTAGATACAAAGCTTCTGTATCTTTCTTTTTTCCTCCCCAATTGTTTTAGTTTGTCTGTAATTTCTTATAAAGGCCCACTTATCACTTAGAGTCCCCATAATGAATGCTGTAAAATATTTTAACATGATCTCTTCCAGAACTGCTGCTCAATTTTATCCTTTAGAAAAAGGTACAAAGAAACTAATAAATATATGGGAATTAGGAAACACTTCATGAATAAGACAGAATGAAGTTCATTCAGATTGGTGAATTACTTCACTTCAAAATATCTCTATCCATGTAAATTAATTGTTTGTGAAGATTTTAATGCACAATATTCATTAAATTATCCCCATATAGTTTGTTCTGTGTATGTCAGGCTCTAATTAGCTTGTCAACTTCTCCTAGTAAAAGTAAAATATAAAAGCCTCATTTTGGTGACCTCTCAAATCTGCCTGTAGGGAACAGTTGGGAGGGTCACTGGCCTTTAGGGTCTGCCATTTCTATCCAGCATCCCTTTTCCTAAGCATTCCCAAATGTACAAAAACAACTTGTTTGAGTAGTGGACCTGATGTTTTTATTTCAGCCAACTGATTTTATAGACATCATATGGTAACATGAAAAAACGGCCACCATTTTCCTTTTGGGAAGAGTATAAGTTATTCTGACTCTGAGGTTTCTATCTTAGAGATACTTGAAATATTGACCACTTTAGTGTTACATGAAGCAGAGAAGGCAAAGTCACTGACAAAGTGCATTTCCTACACTTGGCAGAGTTGGATCTCAGAGTTCATCGACTATGCTGATTAGGATGAACTGAAAGATATAGTTAAGAAATATATATATATATATATATATATATATATATATATGCTTAGATCTTGGAAAGAGGAAAAAATAAGGTGGTTTTTAATTCTTCCAATATTGGCTAACTTTAATAGATTTCCACTTTATTGTAAGATTAAGGAAATTAGTGCCCTTTTGTTATAAGAATGAAGATTGCTGGGCTTTACATTGGCTGAGTCATTCTACAGCAAACTCTAGAAACTGTTTAAATTTGATGAGGAAGTTCTGAATTTAGGAGAAGGGATATAAAGTTACTAAATCAACACATTCACAAGAAAACCCAGGATATTGCTTCTTTCTTTCAAGATTTATTTGCATAAATGCTCAGTATAATCTAGTCGGAATACTGAAATAGCTTTATCTCAGTCTTCTCTAAACAATTAGGATAGGGTGTCATAGGCAAGCCCTCTTTTCTCCCCGATTTCTCTTTTGGAACAAAATTCTCCTTACTCCATCTTTCATCTTTATTATCTAGAGTAGCTTTTATGTAAAGCCAAAAGCTAAAATACCTGAAGAAGAGATCTGGATTTCTCCTATTACCATGTCTACAGTAATGTTTCAAAAGTTTAAACTATTAGCTTACAAGGAGGGAGGACTTTTCTATTGAATTTGAAGAGAGTGATACATAGTTTGGATACTTTCTTGTGGCTCAACTAACTTCTTTCTCATGCGTATCCTTCACCTCAGTGTTATCAATCCAGCATATTAAAAAAATAGCCCTAGTTGCAAGATAACTTTTCCATATATTGAAATAACATGACCTTTTAAAGTGAAAACTAACTTTTACCACCTGATCATAATCTGGCAAAATTAAAAGCAGACTGTTCACAGATTCTAGTAACTTTAAAAACAATGCTAATAATACAAATCCCAAAGATTTGATTTAACAGCAAACATGTACATATTATCTGATACTGAATCCCACACTTACCAAAAGTTGGATATTTTTTTCTAGATATTTATTCCACATCTATGGACATTTATGTGATGAAAACGTAAGCTAATATTTCTTCAAGGACTTTTCAAAGCTTGGATTTGTGCAGTTATCTAGGAGTTAATCACCAGGTGGCACAATGACAAGACAATGCAACTTCAGCCTTCTTAGAATATCATCATCCTTTCCAGGAGATTTTTCTCCCTTCAGATTAAATTGGGTTAAAGAGGAAATAAAGATACATATAATTTTGAAGAATAGCAAATCATAGTCCCTATGCGGTCTTTCGGTTGGTCACGCTCCAGGAAAACCTCAGGCAAAGTGTTTAAGGTTGGGAGGGGGTAGAGAGGGTGGGCAGTGGACACAAAAGATATTGTTCTATGAAAAGGAATGATTACATATGGCCCATACATACAGGATATTGTGTCGCCTGGTAATGAGGCGCTCACGACTATTAGATTGGCCTTTGTTCAGTTTATCCAAACTCCTTGACATACGCCACCTATTCTGCAAACGCCAACAGATGGGCCCAGGCACAGCGCAGCCTCAACACTTGATTTAAAGCAACAGCTGCTCTCTGCTCTGGCCCGGCTAGCCTGCCTGAGCGCAGCTCTTCCAATGAAGATTTGCTCAGACAGCCTGGAGGAAGTGTTCGTTGGAAAGGCACAGGTCACTGCTCTTGTCCTCGCAGAATTCTTAGCGAAGAGAGCAAGTGACAAGGGCTGGTCATCTGGGACATTTCAGGTTCTTGATACAGTGGAGTTACAAGCTCGCTTATTCTTCTGGTCTCAAGACTTTATACTCCTGAGACTCCTACCACTGGTCAAAACCTGAGCTGTTCTTTGGGTGCTCTGGCACTTTCTCTCTTGCTTGTCAGCTTTTCACCGGGTCGCTTTCCCACTTTTTTCTTGCCCAGGGGAGGAGCGCTACATTTGCTGGTACTGCTGGAGAACGTTCAGATACCCCAACAGCCTTAAGGCGCACCTGCGTTTCCACTGCGTCCTTAGTGGTGGCGGGGGCCGCGCCTTCCTGCACCACGAGCACGCAGCTCGTCCAGGTGCTGCCCCAGCTGCAGCGGATGGCTTCGGCCTCTCCCCGAAACCCACTGCGCCGGACTTCGCCGCGTCAGCCCAGGCCGGCGCTCTGCGGCCCCCAACTCAGGCTCCGCAGCTTCCCCAGGTCTGCGGCGCTCGGGAGGGCATCAAGCGCGAGGCCTCCTCCGCGACTTCGACCTCCTCGCCACCCCCGGGCAAATGGGGGCCGCTGAAAAAGGGCAAGGAGCAGCAAGAGCGGGTCCTGGACGCGAGCGGGGCGGTCCGAGCGCACGGCCACTTCCTGGGCGTAGTGGGCGGCTCGGCAGCAGGGAGCGGCAGCCTGGCCTTCTACCCAGCGGCGCGCTCGGCTTTCAAGCCCGCGGGCCTGGCCAGGGCAGCGGCGGCCGCGCACGGCGACCCCTACCGGGAGGAGGGCGGCGGCAAGCAGGGAGCCGGCCAGGCGCTGGGCAGGCTTCTGGGAGGCGGCCGGGCAGGCGGGCGCCCGGGGAGTGGAGAGACCCCGGCGGCCGGGGGCGTGGGCCACCACCACCACACGCACCACCACCACCACCACCACCACCCCAAGTGCCTGCTCGCGGCCGACCCGCCGCCGCCGCCGCCTGGCCTGCCCTGCTCCGGGGCCCTGCGCGGCTTTCCGCTGCTCCCGGGTCACCCCGAGGAGGGCTCCGCCTTCAAACACGTGGAGCGAGCCCCTCCCGCCGCCGGCACCTTTCCCGGAGCGCGGTACGCACCACTGCCCCCAGCACCCGCGCTGCCCCTCGAGCGCTGCGCCCTCCCGCCGCTCGACGCGGGCGGCCTCAAGGGCTACCCGGGCGCCGAGTGCGGCCACCTGCCTGCAGTCATGCCAGCCTTCACCGTCTACAATGGGGAGCTGCTGTACGGCTCGCCGGCTGCGGCCGCCTACTACCCGCTCAAACTGCACTTCGGGGGGCTGCTCAAGTACCCCGAGTCCATCTCCTACTTGAGCGGGGCTGCTGCGGCTGCGGCCGCGGCTGCTCTGAGCCCCGCGGAACTGGGTTCCCTGGCCAGCATTGACCGGGAGATCGCCATGCACACCCAGCAGCTGTCCGAGATGGCCCTGGCCGGGAAAGGCCGCGGCCGCTTGGACTCAGGGGCGCTGCCGCCCGCCGTGGTGACGGCCGGAGGCGCTGGGAGCGGCGGCAGCGCGGGTGGCGGCGCAAGCAAGCCCAAGACCGGCCACCTGTGCCTCTACTGCGGCAAGCTGTACTCGCGCAAATATGGGCTCAAGATCCACATGCGGACGCACACAGGCTACAAGCCGCTCAAGTGCAAAGTATGCCTGCGGCCCTTTGGCGACCCCAGCAATCTCAACAAGCACATCCGACTGCACGCCGAGGGCAACACGCCCTACCGCTGCGAGTTCTGCGGCAAGGTGCTTGTGCGCCGCAGGGACCTGGAGCGCCATGTCAAGTCCCGCCACCCCGGCCAGAGCCTACTGGCTAAGGCCGACGACGGCCCGGGCCCCGAGCCGGGCTATCCCCTGGAGCCTAGGGATCCCAAAAGCGACGACAGCGACGTGGACGTCTGCTTCACGGACGACCAGAGCGACCCAGAGGCCGGAGGCAGCGGCGATCGCGACTTGTAACAGGTCTCGCCCTGGAGGGTAGGGGCCGGGCGCGAATGGAGAGTAGGAAGGAGCGGGTGTACTAGGGATGTATTCAGGGAGAAGAGGAAATCCTGGTAAAAAGAAGGACCTGGTGATGGAAACGGAGCTGCAATTTAGCAGGGCTCGGAGAGAGCTTAAAGAAAGTAGGCCACCAGGGAGGCGCGGGTGGTGGGTCTCTGGCCTCCAGGATTCCTTTGATAGCTCCCCCACCTCGCCAAATCGCCGGAGGAGCAGACTTCTCTAGGGGCTTGGAATCACATTAATACCGACATCATACTGCCCTGGAGGGCCCCAACTTTAACTGCCATCTATTTTTAAATTGTACTTTTCAGTGAAGGAAATTGTGCCTTTTGAGACGAGGTTTTGTGTGAATTTTACATTAGCATTTCATTGTATAGGCAAAACACTAATCACAATTCAGTAATGTGACATCCATACACGTGTTTCTATTTCACCCGTTCTCATGTCAAAGCCTACTCATTGCCACATTGAATACACAGTGGTAGCAGGTGTACAAATTGGTCAAGTTGCAATTATTTATAAAAGAATAATGATAAATGTAAAATATCTAAAGCATGAATCTAAGAGCACGCAGTATATAATTTTAAAGAAAATATCCTATTGGGTAGAGTACAAATGTGTATTTGTTTTATAATGAATAATGTACAGTGGACACAGTATTTTGGTCTTGGTTCCAGTTTGTGCAATCTTTAAGAAAAATAAAAATGCAAAGTAGAGTTTGTTCGCTTAGCGATTTCAGATCCTTTAAAGTAAAGTGGAAAACAAAGTTTTATAAAGCGTTTGAAGAAACTTCACAATAAAATAAAGCATAGGTCACTTGAATACTTTGATTGTTCATAGAATAAGTGTTAATCAGTGTGACAACAAGAGGGAAATACACCATTTTAAAGATGCACTTCATAGATTCCCAGCATGCAAAGCAATTGCTTTGAGAAAACATTGTTGATTATATTATTTCCAACCTTACAGAAAAAAGCTAGTGACCGTCAAGAGTAGGGGGACTTTTGCTTTATAATCCCTCATCAAAAAGAATTATGGAACTGTAGAATCACTATTTCTTTTTGTGTTTTATTTTGACAGAACTTTCCTTGGTAGGCAAAAAAGAAACTTACTCAGTGTTTATGGCCCATGCAGCATAGTATTCATTCGACACATACTAGAGAATCTATTCAGTGGAGGTAGTGATCCACTTACGTGAGCCTCCCCACTAGGTACTCCTTCTAACAAGGTTGTGCTCTCAGCATTGGTTCTGTTTAATAGAGGAGAAACGTATTCTTCCAGGTCACTGGGAGGCCCATGATTACAACATCTAAGTTGGAATAAATATCTATTTGCTGGTCTTTAAAATTTTTTAATGCTAATTAATGGAAAGATATTACTTTGTGGGCTAAAAATGGAGGGCCCTCTTTCTTCTCCCCATATACACTCCAGGGAGGATTTCCATAGGAATGGAGGATTAGTCAGGCTCTCAGGTCAGGGAAGGTAACCCAAGAGCCCAGGAGGGCAGCATTTTTCTTAGAGGTTGGCTTGGGGACTCAGGAACTCACCTATGTGTCTGGCTATGGTCCTGGTCCTGATGAACTTAAGTAGCTTTGCTGTCTGTTTTCTCAATCCTGAGTGCTGTGAGAGTCTCCCATGCTGTCTGCTGATTGGGAACCCCACTTCAGTCACCCAGTGCTGGGCAAGCATTTTGTCTGGTATTTCACAGCAGGAACCTTGGGTGGGGGAAGGCATCTGATTTCTGTTGGTGGCCATTTGAAAAATTTATTCTACAGTGAAGACTTGTGCTAGGGATTATAGGTTTATAATGTCAGCTGACCATGACTTTTTTTTTAAAAAAAATGTACCTACTACAAGGCCTACAGGGTCTCACTACACAGCTTGGACTCCTAGTGATCCTCCTAATTTCAGTCTCCCAAGCTCTGGGATTACAGGTGTGTGCCACCATGCCACCATGCCCAGACTCAATTGGGTGGGAGTGGGACAGGCACAGCCTGCTGGGAATGAATCCTGACCCAGCAGGTGCTTTAGTCCACCGAGCTGTCTGGTGGGCCCTGACCATGACCATTTTGCTTTGTAAAAGAAAGCCTAAATGAGGGAAATGTGTGGGTTACATCATATGTAAATATACTGATAAAGATACTACCATTTATTGGGAACCTATTCTCTGCCAAATTCTTATGCTATTTGTAGTTCTTCCCTCTGGGAAAAAGAAGACTATGGATCAGGGGTGCTCTTGCTACCAAGGACTGGAAATGAACTCAGGCTTGTACTTCCTAAATCCTAAATCTGGGCTTCAGAAATTCAGAGCTTCTCACCATCTGCTTAGTATCAGGGTCCTGTCCTTTCAAACATTTATTACGTGCAATCAAATCCATGCCCATAGCGGGATACTGGAAAACTTTCTGAAATCAGACCATCTAAGTTCTCAGAGTCAGTGAGAAAGGTCTCCCAGATTTGAAATTTGAGACAAGTCCTATCAGTGCTAAAGTATTGCCCCCCTCATTCCACTTCCTAGCTCAGTACTAACTCCAGTAACTTGTTTTGCATGAAAGTATCTCATCAAAAGTACAATAAAAATAGCTTGGTGAGGGCTGGAGAGATAGCTCAGCTGTCTAAAGCACCTGCTTAGGCAAGCTTAGGCAGTACAGGGACCATGGTTCGATCCTCCACACCACATGCCATGCCAGCCCCATCCCCAGGGCAGGCTGAGCTGGCCACAAAAATAAATAAATAAATAAATGATATAAGGATAAAGTAATGCACATAAAGCAATTATTACAAAAAATTAAAAAAATAGCTTGGTGAAAGGAACACATTGAGAACTGATAGAAATTTAATATAGCTAACAAAATCCCCAGCCTTCTGTTTCTGCCTTTGTAACTTGGCATCTACTATTAGAATAGATGCCAGCATGAATAATGAAAACTGAGCAAAGATTTATTTCTTTAGTTTTGGTTCTTTGAGACAGGATCTTACTATTTAGTTCAGGGTGGCCTTAAACTCACTCTGCAGTCTAGGCTGGCCTCAAACTTGTGGCGACTTTTTTGCCACAGCCTCAGTATTGGGATCATGGGTGTGTACCACCACACTTGATTCAAACAAAGGTTTAAAGCTTTAATTACAAGTTGCTTGTAATTCTCCATAGTTTGCTTCAGGCAATCCTTATATTTGTTCATGTAACTGCACACTGTCATATACAGTTAATGCTATGACAATGTCAAATCAGTGATATGCAACTAATAACAAAAATGTTAATTGTTTCAACTCAGTTGAATTATTATTGAAGTATTTCTCAGATTGCTTCATTCAGCGTTCTATCTCTTTTCCTCTTCACTCAATGCTTCCTATCCTGCTGATGAGAGCTAATTTTAAGGGCAATTCAGGGGAAGCCATTGGGAGTTTCTGAGGTATTAACTGTGTATGTCGTACCAAAACATTAAAAAAAAAGATCGGAAGAAGATGGTCATGTGTTATGAAAGTGAAAGACTCTAGATTGTTTGGACCTACTTAATTTGGGCATTAATATGTTTCGGTAACTGATTTACATGGGTTTAAGTTTGCCTCTGCCATTTACTGGCTCCGCAATTTGGGCCGATCTCTCAATTGCTTTACTCTCATTATTTGTTAGCCAGAGTAAAACAAAGGGTAGTTGTGAAACTTAAGCAAGTTGACACGCAAGGCTGCTGCTCAAAATCGCACCTACATTGTATATGCAAATAATACAAAATAACCAACACCCTCTTCGACTTTCATTTGCAATATTAGCATAAGGAGATGAAGACGGAAGCCCTTCTATAAGTTTAACATCGTTCTGGGGGGCATTTGCTCTTCTTTTGATTCACTTCCAGTCCTTGACCAATGTCAGTAAACAAAGGCCTTGCAAACGAGTTAAGGAGAAACTTCTTCAGGCTTTCTTACCCGGTTCTCTTTCCATTTTAAGCTCAAATACTGGTACAAATGGTTTATAATGGTTAATTGAGTGGGAAGGTTAATTGAGAGGTTCGACAAGCTTGCAGTGGAGTTCAAAACATTTGCACTTCCCTTTCTGAACTGAAAGGCAGAGTGCAAGAGCCGGGCAAGAAAGGCAGCCCTGCCAGGCTTTCACTGTCTGGGGAAAGTGGACCGAGGCAGGGCGGGCGGCGCTGGCAGGTGGGGTCGCAGCCGCGCTGCCAGCGGTGGTCTAAGGCTCCACCCGCCGCGCGCTCCCATTGGCTCGGTCCGGAGAGCCTGCAGCCATGCTAATGTTGCAAATGAAAGTCGAAGAGGGTGTTGGTTATTTTGTATTATTTGCATATACAATGTAGGTGCGATTTTGAGCAGCGGCCTTGCGTGTCAACTTGCTTAAGTTTCACAACTACCCTTTGTTTTACTCTGGCTAACAAATAATGAGAGTAAAGCAATTGAAAGATCGGCCCAAACTGCGGAGCCAGTAAATGGCAGAGGCAAACTTAAACCCATGTAAATCAGTTACCGAAACATATTAATGCCCACCAACATATTGGTGGCGAGCTGCGGCGCTAAACTCCCGGCGGGCGCTGAGCGCTCCGGGCGCTGGGGCCGCGTGGCCGTGGGTGCCCGGGCGCCCCGCGGGGCGGGCGTAGTGGAGGCTTTCCGTGCGCGCGACGCTCCCCTTGCTCGGTTCCACTGTCCCCGAGAATCCGAGTTTCCAGATTCTGGGTAGAAGCTAGGGCGTGGGAGTCTCACGCTGCTTCGGAAGATAGCTCGGAAGTTGTGGAGCGGAGAGACGTGGAGAAACGCGCGGGCCCAGGGGTGGCCCGGCTTCGGCCCCGCCATCTGCCACCTCCGCAACCAGGCGAGGGCAGAGGTGCCGGTGGCTTGGGTCGTCACACGCGACCCTCGGCCACCCAGGTGTGCGTTGTGAAGCGGGGACTCGACAGACGGCGGGGCCCACGTGTTTAGTTCCAGAAGGAGCGTGGCGCTCGCTCTGGGCTGGG